CAGCAGCGGGAGGTGGGCCCTGGGCCCCCTGACCGTCCTGACAACTGGAGGAAGAGGAAAGTGAGGCTGACCATTGTCACCAGAAAGGGACCAGGACCGAGGCAGGTGGCCCGGCACGGTCTGGACTGTGTGGGTTCTTGACTTGGTGGGGGACAGCTTTCACGACACGAGTCCAGGTGAATGGAGAGGACATTTACTAAAGCTGGGACAGTGCAACAAAGGAAGGGCTTAAGACAGAAGAGGCAAGATCACAGCCGCAGGAGTGAGCCACGCCGGGCTGCCTGGCCGCGGGGAAGGCAGTCACAGAGGCAGCAGAACCCAGGGGGATGAGCCTGGGACGAGCTGCCACTGCCTGCTGCCCCCTGGTTGCAGGTGTCATGGGGACCCTTAGAGCTCAGGAGAAAGAAAGCAAAAGGACTCGCCTGAGGAAAGGGGGTGCAGGTGTGCTTAACGGAGAGCGCCCACTGGGTCCTTTGTCTTGTGGGTTCTTATCTGTCTCTAAAGGCGGGAGTTTTAGGGGAGGTCGGGGATGGGTCTCAACAGAATGTTCAACAGCTTTCCAGGCCCTTTAAGATGCCGATGCATCAAAATGAGTGTAGAGAGGAGTTTGGGACCGTTGTCTGGTCTGCGTTATCGCTTTTCCTCTATCTTGGATTTGTTGGCTCTGGTTGATTTTTGTTTTGTTTTGTTTTTGTCATTTAGTTCCCTGACTTTATTCGTTCTGGGGTTTGGCTGGCACTGATGGCACTAACCTGCTGTCTTAGCTCCCTGCCCAGGGTGATTTAAGCTGCGCACTCTCCAGGTGGGGGTAGAGGTGTAAACCTTTGCTCCTAAGTGTCCTTGGTCGGGGAAGAGACCTTGTGATTCATTAGCAGGCTGCTAATTGCTCGGCCTTGTTTAGTTATTTTGTCTCAGTTTCCCTCATTCCTCTTGCTAAGGAATTTCCTAGCTTCTAACCACCGTGCCTCCCATCAGAACCACACGGAAGGACATGTCACATGTTCATTCATAAAAAGGGGGCGCAGTTCACACCACTGTTGGGATAAGAGCATCTTCCTTCGTGCGGTCTGGTGCTCACGGCCATGGATATGGACCGTGGCTCGGAGCCCAGTCCTGTGGGCACAGTCGCTCCTGCCAGTGAATCGTCCGGCTGTCGCATAAAGTCACAGGTGAGCAAAACTCATTGGTTGGTGTAGAAAGATACCAGATCCCACCAGACCCGACTAACGGTTGCATCCAAGATGCCAGGACCCCGAGGGGGTGGGCCAGGTGAACGGCCCCACTGCTCCCTTTCCCTGAACCCGGAGCTGCCCAGGTTCCATTTCCGGTGCCCAGGACTCCCTCCCACGCCCTCCCTCGCGTGGACTATGATCCTGTGCGCACCTGGAAACATACATTTTGTTCTTGACCCACGAACTCCTAGGCTGCTGGTCACCCCGGGCTGGTTTCCCGAGCCGCAGTCGCCCCTCCAGGCTCCGCTGCGGACACCTAGGGAACTGCCCGTTCTGTGCGCTGCCTCGGAGCCCTGGAACCTCCCCTCCCCAGTGCGGTTCCGCTCGGCACCCCTGGCGGCCCTGTGTGTCCTGCGGCCGGCAGGTGGCGTTCATTCTGCAGGTACCTCCGAGTGAAATCTCTCCTTTACCCGCATATCTTTCTCTCCGCCCCATCTCTCTTTCAGATCAAGTCAGGAGAGGCCTCTGCTGTCCTCCACCTTCCCCGGCGCTGTGCGCGCTGTGCTAAAGGGTTTGCTCCCTCCACTCCCATCACTGGGTTTTAAAATTAATTTCAATGTCTGAGGCTGCCCTTCCTTGAAGGCTCTTTTATTCCCTCTGCAGAGTGTGTCCTGGGGACCGGGCTGTAACCGTTCTTCCCGGGCCTCTGGTTTGATTCCTGAGGTCCTCTGGGGGATGGGGATGCACTGACCGCACCGAGGGTCCTCACTCTCTGAGCTTCGTTTATGACGGGTCAGGGCTGGCGGTGTTCTGAAATGCCAGCCACCCTCTCCCCCCAAAATGCCCTCCTGCCTCAGGCCAGGCCTCCTCCTCTCCTGTTACTCCTGGTGTCTCCACGGCCAGAGGTGATGAAAAAGAACACAGGGGCCTGTTCTATGCAGACACACAGACAGACACACAGACACGCACAGACAGACACATGGACACATATAGACACACACATTCAGACACACACACACAGGCACATGCAGACACAGGCACACAAACACAGAGACATGTAGACACACACAGACACACAGATACATACACAGATACACGACACAGGCACACACAGACACAGGCACATGCAGAGACAGGCACACAAACACACAGACATGTAGACACATGGACACACACACAGTCAGACACACACAGACATAGAGAGACACACAGAGACATACACAGACACACAGACACACACGAGAAGTGAACCTTCCACAAGTGTCCCTTTCATTGCTACCTGGACCTGCACCTCTTTCTTAGAGGGGAGGGGTGTGTAGTGACGTGTGAACATGTGTCCTTTGAGTGTGGGCCCCGAGCCTCCTGCAGGGGGAGGCTGGAGTCGGATGGGAGAGGGGACGGTCCGAGGTGAGGTCCCAGCGACCTGGAACCCAGGTGCCGGGAGGAAGCCACACTCAGTCCATGCGAACACCCAGCGCACAGGTGGGACGTGGAAATGGACGCACTGCTGTGCCAGGTTTCTGCTGGGGCCTTTCCATACCGGAACCAAAATACCGCCCAGACACGGCAATAACAACCAATCTGGGCTCGGCGTAGTGATAAACAAGAGCCACATATTGAAAGTGTGCAATTCGGTGATGTTTAGTATAGTCACAGGGTTGTACAATGATCACCACTATCTAGTCCCAGAACGCCCTCATTGCCCCCAAAGAAACCCCACACCCACTAGAGTTACTCTCCATTGCCCTCCCCCCCAGACCCTGGCAATCACCACTCTACTCTGTCCCCATGAATCCGCATATCTTGGATATTTCATGTAAATGGAATCGCACAGTACATTGTCATTTGTGACTGAGTTCTTTCACTTAACATGCACTCAAGGTTCATCTGCAATGAAACAAGTACCAGTATTTTATTTCTTTTACCGGCTGAGTAATATTCCATTACATGGATATTCAGTATTTTGTTTATCCATTGAGCCTCAAGAATCCAAGTGCATCACTTCTAGTACCTAAACTTTAGTCTCTCTTCTCTCTCTCTTCCTCTCTCTCTCCCTCCCTTCCCCTCTCCCTCCCTCTCTCTCTTCCTCTCATTCTCTCTCTTTTTCCCTCTTCCTCCCTCTCTCTCCCTCTCTTCCTCTTTCTGTCCCTCTCCCTCCCCCACTCTGGCTTTCCTTCCTGTGGAAGTGGCTGAGTGGGCAGCAGTGGGGAGGGCTGCTTAATGAGAATCCCTATCTTCAGGCCGCTGTGGGAAGGGGAGCAGATAAGGTCTCTAGCCCAGAGGGCCCTGGAAGGCCGCCCCTCCTCAAGTATAGGATTGGCTTTTATTGCAGCAGCTGTTAATAAAACAGATGTTCTCAAGCTACCCTCCAACCAGTGACCAGACTTGGAAAATTGCTGTCCCTTGTATTGGTTGCTGAAACCAAATAAAAACCAAATGAAAGTTTAATTCACCTCATAATTTTCTCCGTGGCAGCTCTGCTCCTCGGCCAGCCTCAGGCAGGGCCAGTTTCCCCTGCTCCGTGGCACACACCCTCGGCCTCATGGAAGCCCCAGCGGCCGGGTGGCCGGGCAGTGGCATTGGCAGCTGGAGGAAGGGCCACAGCTCAGGCGAAGATGAAAGAACTTTGGAAGCTGCTGGGTGATACTGGAGAGGACCGCCCTCCTCTTCTCCCTGGGGTCTCCATGGCAACAGGGGGACGGCTGTTAGGTATTCCAGCTATGTGACCCGGGCCTGCATGTCCCACAGGTTCCCAAAGGGTGCAGGACCATAAGTACTGGGAGGCCTACGGCACATACACCAGAGCCTGTGACCCTGGGCCTCAATCAATTGTGCACACATTCATTCAGTAAGCTCTGCTGTTCAATTAATATGCAAATGAGTGCGTAAACGAATGAAATCATTTTCCAGCTGCTTGTTTCCTTTTTAAATAGTCTCCTTCCTTCCCTCCCTCCCTCCTTCCTTCCTTCCTTCCTTCCTTCCTTCCTTCCTTCCTTCCTTCCTTCCTTCCTTCCTTCCTTTTTTTTCTCTGACATATAAATAATCTGGCACTTCCTGGCCACCACGCCAAGGCTGGCAGAAGCATCCCCACATGCTAGGAGTTAGCAACTTGCCACAGATGTTAACTCAGTGTTGGGTTTTGCTGTTTGAAATGCATCAAGTGCTCTATAAATGCTGAAAGGGGAGGCCAGGAGATGGGTGAACCCCAGCACCAAGCATAGCTTTCAGGCCAAGAAGCACCTCAAGCACAGTCCTTGCAGTGACATGAGAAGGTCAGAGGGCACGCTGGGCAGGACTGCAGGTCCTCCTCAGTGTTAACCCCCTGCTCTCGCTCACTCAGCCACTCCAATCTAATCAGCATTGCTGCCTGCGAGGTGGGCTAGACCCCACAGAGGGAGATGAGGCCAGAGCTGCCGGCCAGCAGGGCACCCCATGTGGCCACGAGTTGTCACCCTACAAGGTGGCAGAGACATAAAGAACCTGTGGGCGAGGAGGTGGGGGCATTCTTAGTGGCAGGGGCACGACTCTGTGGCTTTTGCAGAGTGGAGTCAGGGCGGGAGGGGAGCTTAGGAGAGCGAGCACTGGGAGAGGAAACCCGTTCGAGGGAGGCTGTTTCTCCAGCCGCCGCAGCTCCATCTGAGGCAGGCGCCACCCACCAGGCAGTTCCCTCCTGAGAGCTTTGAAGATACCCCTCACTTGACATTGAGATCGTGGTATCTTTGCCTATAAGAATGGGAGGTTTTTCACTTTGTTGTATAAAATGTAAAACATATTCTGAAACCGTGTACCGGATACACAGCTTCTATTTCCCTATCACAGAAGAGGCTGCGCAGTCTGGTGTGAACTCCGGAAGCAGGAAACCTCTCCTGGGAGATTCTGGTGAGTTTCCAGTCTGGCTGCTGGTGGACCAGACAGGTATCTTCTGCAGCCCCCTCCTCTCCAGCTCGGGCGGAGCTGGCCATGGGGGTGGGAGCACGGGCTCCTTGAAGCGGGGAGGTGCTCCGCCGGTGGCCAGGGTGAGGGGTGGGCTTCCTTAGCAGGGAGAGCTGCCCCCGCGGAGGCTGTACGTGGACCGAGTGTCCCTCCCTGAGACAGGCTTCCTCTCTCTCCCTTCTCCCACCTTCAAAAACATTTAGCATTTGGTGGACAGGGTCGTGTTAGATTAGGGTGCTGTGAAGAGGGAGAAGACCAGGGAGGGAACGGAGAAGACGTGGGGGAGGCTGGAGAACCAGGGGAAGGAAGAGAAGGAAGAACCAGGAGGAGCCAAGAGCCAAAGGAAAAGCAGGGGCAGCAGTGACCTGACTCTCTGGGCCGGTGCCAGGGTGACAGACGCTGCCTCGGGCCCAGCACTGGCCCGACCAGGACTGTCTTCAGCTCTCGCTTTCTCTGTCGCCTAATGTCACCTCCGAGCCAGGGGCCTTGACCTCTCCCTCGGTCGCTCTAGAAACAGGGTCTGTGCTTCCTCACAGCAGTGATCGCATCGGCCGCGCTGTGTATTCACTGGTTTGGTTTTCTTCCCTCAAAGGAATGCAGACTTCACTGGCACCGGACGTGTCTTTTTCTTCTTCTTTTTTAAAGTTGCTATAAATTTTTATTCCAACCTCAAAAACAGGAGGCATTTCCAAAACTAATTTGTACAGAATAAGAAGGAACATTTTAAATAGGATCATTTTACTTAACTAATATAAACATCTGAAATTCTTGGTGCAAATTTTTTTTTTTAAATTTGCCGATTAGCTCAGCTCTGCCTAAGGTGTTTGTATAACAACTTGAAAATTATTAAAGGGCATTGCCTGTCATTTCCTTTCTCTTTGTAAGTTGAGGTATAATTGACATATAACTTTATGTTCGTTTCAGGTGTACAACATAATGGTTCAATATTTGTACACATGGTGAAGTGATCCCCACAATAAGTCTAGTTCATATATGTCAGCACACATAGTTACAAAAAAAGTCATTTTTCTTGTGATGAAAACGTTTAAAATCTACTCTCTTAGCAACTTTCAAATATGTGATTCAGTATTAACTATAGTCACCATGCTGTACATGACATCCCCATAACTTACTGAGTTTATAACTGGAAGTTTGTATCTTCTGACCCCTTCACTATTTGCCTGCCCCTCCCCCCACCTTTGGCAACCACCAGTCTGTTCTCTGTATCTATGAGTTTGAGGGGCTTTTGTTGTTACTTTTGTTTTGTTTTGTTTTTAGATTCCACATATAAGTGAGATCATACAGTATTTGTCTTTCTCTGTCTGGCTTATCTCACTTAGTACAATGTCCTCAGGGTCCATCCATGTTGTCCCAAATGGCATGATTTAATTCTTTTTTATGGCTGAATAATGTCCGACTTCCTTTCACTAAATAAAGCCAAAAGTTTGGCCACTCAAGAGGAATACAGAGATCCAGAGCGAGAACAACTCCTAAACTTCTCGTCCTCTTTGGGACTTTGAACTTTCCCGTGTCTGGGGGGTCAGTTTGCGGCTGAGCAGCAGCTGCATCGTCAAGGCCCAGGAGTTAGGGCAGAGCATCACCCTCTGTAACAGGCCCTCAGGGCTCCCACCCTGACGGTCTGGGGTCAGTAATGAACGCATCTGTGTGAACCAGGCCTTTCATACAAAATCTTTAAGAACATCACTATCCTATTCTTCGTTAAATTTTATTTTTCTTTTCCTGGCTATTCTATGTCTTTCCATCATTATTCAAGCATCTTTTCATGTTCCTTTATTAGCTACTCTCTTCAAGGTCAAACTTTACTTTATCCATTTTTTTCCTTAGGAGTTTGTGCAGGAAGAAGCCAGATAGGTCAGGTTTGGGTTTGGACCGACCCACACAGAGTGGAGTGGCCCTCACCAGCCAGTGTCCCCATGGCACACGAACAACTGGAGGTGCCTGGAGAGAGGTCTTCTCCTTTGAATAATTGTTCAGAATCTATATTTTTCTCTTGAGAATAAGACAGTAGTGATCTTCCTTGTTCATAGCCAACAAATAAAAAAATCTAAGAAGTAGTTTTCACATAGTTTTTAAACAAACAAAACTGTAACCCAGTAATAAATTTCTCCCCAACCAGCGCTAGCTAGAGAACATTTTAAGCCAAAATTAAAATTTCAGAGACATTTCTTTTTTTTAAATATTTATTTATTGAATTGATTGGGGTGACATTGGTCAACATGAACATGTAGGTTTCAGGTGTGGGTTTCTATGCAGAGGCACTTCTGAAAGACAATAAATATAATTAGGCTCTGGGTTCTGTTATCTCTATAGGATGATCCTAATTTTCTAAATAAGAAATCAGGACACAATCAGGCTATTCCTCTGCTTGGAATGTCAGGGCCTTTCCCCTCATGCAACTAGTGAGCTCCTATTCATTCTTCAAAACCCAGCCGAGGAGTCACCTCTTCTGGGAAGCCTCCCCTCCATGTCCCGCCTCCAGACTAAATAAAGTTATATGCTCCCTTGTGGTTGGAACATGTTTTGATTGTTATATGTAAATCGCCAATTGCAATTTATTTTTTACTTTGTAAGATCCTTGGGGACAGGGATTATGTTATATTTACTTCTAGACCCCCTTGACCTAACTTAGGGACTGGCGTATCACAGAGCAATCAGTAAACGTTGGTTGAATTGAATTGAATGGTAAAGAGAATGTTTTCTTACTTGTGAATCTAATTACATGAAGTCTTACAATTATATGAAATGACTTCATATTTAGTTATATATTCAACAAATTGCCTTTATTAAAAAGATGAAAATTACATGAAAGGAGAGTGTCCTGGAACATCCTAGACATGTGGCCTCCTGGCTCCGAAGTAGCGTAATACCAGCGTCCTGGACGTACCTAACTCGACAAAGTGAGGTGCTCATTGGCATTTGAAAGAAATGTCAGACAAAATTGTGGGGGGAGTTGTCTAAGGTCATTTCAGTTGCCAAAGGGAAGTGATTCACTTCCATGCGATTTGTTTTGCCTCTGATACTATTTCCCTAGCACAGACCGGGCCCTACACCTTCCAGTAATTGGTTTGATGCCTTTGGATGCTATTTGGCCCCTTTGCACATATGCACTGAACAACTCACTTTAAGAAAACAC